CAGGGCTTAGTGTAGAGATCTACTGTAGGAAATGGAGGGGTTCTGCTAATGCTGCTAGCTTCCTATTAACAACTATTCACACCGACTTGAACTTAAGGGTTTTTTTCCCTAAATATTAAAGAACAAGTTGTATGGGGTAGTTAGGCTTTTAGCTAAACATCTACAGAGTTGTATTAATTCACTTGGCAATAAGTGCCTCTACCCTCCTCTTGAAGCACATGCAAACCTAAAAATACTAACACAGACTATGACTTCGCTACCTGGAAGGGATCGGGATTTGCCTTGTTTAAGGTCACTGATGCCGTTCCTACTCCCAGGCACACAGTGTGAAGGAAATTTTTGCAGAAGTGCTATCAGTATTAGGTATAAACTTGACTGTGGGCAGTGAGGATGCCCAATCTCATTGCATTGCCTTTATTCTATGTAAAAGATGAGCTGATACCTGGTTCAGTGGGCCAGAAAGAAGCATGCATGCTTGTTTGGAGTTGGGTATGAAGGGATTGTCTTGCCCTATGGCTGTAGTACAAGCTGACTGCTGATCTGTGTGTTTCTTTCAGAGACCGTTGATAACTTGACCTTTGGGGCTGGGGTCAGTTTCATCAGCCTGACGCGCACACCTGCTTCAGCTCAAGGCAAGTTATTTTCATGCTCCTAACTTTTAAAATAAAACCAAACCAAAAAAAAAAAGAGGCTCAAATGTGCGTGTTTAACTTGTAAATGTCGCTTGCAGAAAAAAACAGATCCCAAGATCAACAAAAAGATGTTCTCTGTCTGACGTCACCTGATAAGCCGTAAGTTCAACCCAGGCCTTAGCTACCAGTGGCTATAGGTAATACTAGTGTATTTTTAAAAATAAACCAACAATCATTCTGTTTCCTTTCTGTAGAGGGCCCCTGCCTCGTCCGTGGAAGGTAGAATCTCCATCCAGGAGAAAAAGCAGCCCAACTGCAAGTCTAAGGAGATCCCTGCGGAAAGCTCCCCTGAAACCAGCCAACTGATACTTCCCCATCCATGCACTGTGTAGTTCCAAAACGCTCTTGTATAGACCCTTCATCACGTTGACCATGAACTGTTCCTCTTCCCTCTAAAGTTATAATTATGGATCATTGTGTGTACAAGTGTCCCTCCTTACCCCCCTCCATTTTATTTGTTTTTATATATATTTTTATATATATATATATACACATACACACGTTTGCTTTGATTTATAAACTGGAGCAGTTAATGACATTCTTTGCTGTAGGACAACTGCGAGTGCCAAGAAGCTGCAGTATCTAGTGATGGCTGACTATTCACTGCACAGGACTTATGGCTTGTCCATTTTGAAACGTAAGTCTGTCTTGGCCATAAGCTCTAGCCCATTGTATGTAAGTGCAGCCATTAGGAATACTGGCTTGGTTGAACCTGGTATGTTTGTCACAGCTTGTTACCTTACATGACTGGAATGGCTATTGGCTTAAATCATTCCCTTGGTGTCATGCTGTCCCCTGTTCATAATATACTAGTTTCCATATTTTCTACAACTCTAGAATAGCTTGACACTGCCATACCTGCAAATCTGATACAATTGCAAGTTATTAAGGATTTATGTGTAATGAAAGGTCCATTCTATGTGTGTATATATAGCCTTCCTTTTCTTTCCTAAATGGAATATTTCCACTCTTGGACCAAGTTCTTATTTCCAGCTGTTACAATTTTATGAAAAATAAATGTTTAAAGAACAAATTCCACCCACCTCTCAGCTTTTCTTGCTTTGAAAGAACCAAATTATTTTCTTCTGTAAATCTCTAGCCTTACCGCATTCACCTTATTTCTTGCCCACTGCTTTCATCTCTTCCATGCCTATGTTGAAGCTCTACTGTTCTGTCACCCCAACAGCCGGTGGGCTCATCCATATAAATACTTGAATTCCTGTGGGATCCCCACCCATCAGAGCAGCTGCTTGCAGTGTCCAAATCCTTACCATCACCCATTCTCGGGGCTGGCGTATATGACAGCCAAATAAAGCCTCTACCACCAGCCGGCTGGTGTGACTTACGCATGCATTCAGTGCAGCTGTTGGAACAGCAGATTTTGAACGTGATCTTATTCATTTTACTGATAGCAGGTTCTGAGTATTTTACTGAGGATGGTAAATCGTGTTGAATTGTAATGCTCAGTACAAAAAAGCCACTTTGTTCTATGCAAAACACTAGTGTTAATGCTGGAACTGCAGTTAAGGTTGAAAGCCCAGCCTTCTTGGTGCCCAGGCATAAGTGACTGAGATCTTCCAATGCTCAGCTTCAAAACTACTGCACTTCCCTGGCATTACATAACTTGTTCTGTAGCTCTCAAACTCTAAAACTTAAGTGACTATGCATTTCGCGACAACCCTCCATAAGCATTTATTTCTGTGCTAATAAGGTAAGGGTTGCTCCAGCACAAAAGGAAATTGAACGACTGAAAAGGGAGAGGGGCAAAATTCAACTTCCATTTTAACCTTACCAATACTGTGGTCACTCCCAGGATTCTTCTTAAAGAACTTCAAGTGGGGTAAAATCTTAATCTCAGAATTAATGTAGCAAGATGTATAGGGTTAGTTCAAGTGGTTTTGAATGAAGGAATGGCTAACTATGACCACCTCCTTTTTCATTCTATCCTACTTACATCCCTCCACCCCAATTAACTAGGCATATTAAACAGTAAGACAGCAGTGAGTTGGTAATTATACTAAGTCTAGTTCAAATATAAAGCTCTTCAGAGGTTTTCTTGAATTGTCTTGTCCTTGAACAGAAACAGGTATAGCCCATCAGGCAAGGCTCCATCTCTTCTCGAGAAGAAATGGGGGTGGAAGAACTTCCCACAATAAACCAACTGATTCATAGATTCAAGGACTGGAAGGGACCTCGAGAGGTCGAGTCCAGTCCCCTGCCCTCATGGCAGGACCAAATACTGTCTAGACCATCCCTGATAGACATTTATCTAACCTACTCTTAAATATCTCCAGAGATGGAGATTCCACAACCTCCCTAGGCAATTTATTCCAGTGTTTAACCACCCTGACAGTTAGGAACTTTTTCCTAATGTCCAACGTAAACTTCCCTTGCTGCAATTTAAGCCCACTGCTTCTTGTTCTATCCTTAGAGGCTAAGGTGAACAAGTTTTCTCCCTCCTCCTTATGACACCCTTTTAGATACCTGAAAACTGCTATCATGTCCCCTCTGTCTTCTCTTTTCCAAACTAAACAAACCCAATTCTTTCAGCCTTCCTTCATCGGTCATGTTCTCAAGACCTTTAATCATTCTTGTTGCTCTTCTCTGGACCCTCTCCAATTTCTCCACATCTTTCTTGAAATGCGGTGCCCAGAACTGGACACAATACTTCAGTTGAGGCCTAACCAGCGCAGAGTAGAGTGGAAGAATGACTTCTCGGGTCTTGCTCACAACACACCTGTTAATACATCCCAGAATCACATTTGCTTTTTTTGCAACAGCATCACACTGTTGACTCATATTTAGCTTGTGGTCCACTATAACCCCTAGATCCCTTTCTGCTGTACTCCTTCTTAGACAGTTTCTTCCCATTCTGTATGTGTGAAACTGATTTTTCCTTCCTAAGTGGAGCACTTTGCATTTGTCTTTGTTAAACTTCATCCTGTTTACCTCAGACCATTTCTCCAATTTGTCCAGATCATTTTGAATTATGACCCTGTCCTCCAAAGCAGTTGCAATCCCTCCCAGTTTGGTATCATCTGCAAACTTAAGTGTACTTTCTATGCCAATATCTAAGTCGTTAATGACGATATTGAACAGAGCCGGTCCCATATTGAACAGAGCCGGTAAGTATTTACATGTGTTTTGTAACACCAGTTTAGTTCTTTGTAAGTCACCAACTGAAATAAACAAGCAATGTGTCAGAAAACAGAAGGAATCTTTCACCCGTTACATTGAATTCAAAGCAAACACAGGTTAGGATAAATATGAATGTAAAAAAACAACAACACAAGGATGCTTTAATACCTTGATATGTATGTAAAACATTCTTGGCAAAGTTAAATGTAATACATTAGTACAAACCTATAGATTAAACTATTTACAGCGAGTTCTGTAAATCAAATCTGACGAGCTAGGTCTTGGAGGGGGGGGGGGGGGGGGAAGGGTCCCTTCATCCCAGTAGAGATGCCACTGTCACATTTTTAGATCTGAAAAATAAATATCTATTCTTCAGCATGCAAAGAGTCTGCAAGCTGAAAAATCCTGCCTTCGGCAGAAGGCCAAGTGTCAGACAGTGCTCCCCATAGTGCCAGAAGCTAGCTTGACTCTAAGCTTTTTCCTCTCTCCCCATCTTAATGTTCTATAAACAGCACAGAAAAGGAGTAGTGGATAAAACTGAAGGGTAAAGGAGTGTCTTTAAGTACCCTATTGTCATGTTGACTACAGGACAACATGCAGCCAGTGGACAGGAATACCTAGTTTTGGGTGAAGAGCACATCTTAAAGGTAACCATAAATCAATTGCAAGGTGTCACTACCCTCTGGAGCGCACACAGGTATTGCTACCCCATCTTTACCTCCATCTATGATAGCAAAAGGAGAAAGTGGTGGGACTATGTTTAAATAAATGCAGCAATGGCATGTCCAGCAAGGCCGCAAAATCACTCAATAGGTGGTGAAAAGTCCAAGGCAGATTAATACAGAACACGAAAAAAATAACACTGACAGTCCAAATTGTCAAGTATTCAAAATACTGTATGCATCAAAAGTTAAGACAACTCCATTTATGTTTGAAATACAAGAACACTAAATTATGCTACATTAAAAACCATTCTTCAACCACAGCACGGAACTGCTCTAGTGTTGCATCTAAGTATTTCTTATTTAACATTTGCCCAATGCCGTAAGTGTACATTTCTGAAGAACAAGGAATTCTAAATGATCCCTTAAAGCCAAGAAAGTGGTAGCGTCTACCAGCTGAAGAAAAGTTGCAGCTACCATCTTGAGAGCGCTTTTGTGTCAAGCTTTCACAACTCCAGAGATGTTTTCCCCGCTTGCTATGTAATCTCAAAATTCTGAAGAGATGGTGTAGCTGCCGCAGAGTTAGAATGAATTGAGAGAACTTGCAGAGAGATTTATCGTCTTCAGCAACCATTAGTCACTCTGTCACCTGGTCAGAACTTAATTCAAAAACCTTCACAGGATATTTCTTGCAAATAAGCATTGGTCTTTTGCAAGAAAATAGTAATTTGAAATATAAAATTGAGTAGCTCCCGCCTTAAACTTACAAAAAGGATCCCTGAGTGACTCTCTGTTCTATGTCCTATAAGACCTCTCTTGGGAAGGAAAATGTTGAACTAGCTTGGGAGAAAGAGGCTGCTTCTCTGTACACAGTTTGTAAAGTTGCTTGTGCTACACTCTGCAATAATACTGATATGCTCTGACAGTGCCATGCTGTAGCAGCATCTGAGCTCCTGGCTGCAGTTTAAAAAAGACTTGTTTTTAAAAAAATAGCTACATTATTTAACACTGTTGGCATAACAACATATTTACATTTTAAATAGAAATGTTACCTTCGCTGAAGTAATCAAAATACATCTTTGCAAAAATTTAGAATGCAGAATTCTACAAAATCAACCGGGTCTGTAGAAAAGCTTGAAATCATCTCAGTACCATTGTGGGAATCAGCCCATGAGCGTGGTTTTGGCTTTACATTTTATAAAAGGGATATCTTAATGCTAAGATTCTCTGCCTCCAGTATCCAGAATCTTACAAATATTTAAATAGCTACACAGCAGGCAAGCCTGCTTTGTGCAAATTAGAGTTAAAAGTTACCTGCATACAGTGAGTATTTTATGTAAAACTGAACAAAAGCCATCCTTTTGGATTGATGCTGTACAGGTGGAAAAAAACAGAATTCACCGCTGCTGGCAAAAGGGCTGTGAAATTTAAACTAGTTAGTTGCTTGTACTATATCTCCACCCATCACTGTGGGTTTGACTCAGATTCTGGTTCTGCACCTGCAGAACCAAATCCTGATTGGGGTTCCTAAAGTCCATCAAAATCAAACATTCGAGGCCAATGCTACATGCTCAACAGGGGCCAGCTAGTGAGATCAGTAGCCTGCATGGCTCATGCTCAGGAGGGGCTCTGCAGGATTGATGTGATAGCAGTTCTATCAGCTCAGCCTAGCAGACCTTTAAAGATAAAATGATACGAAGGGCAGGAAACCCTCACTTGCGTAGTTGGCAAGAGAGTACAGTTACAACTGTAAAGGTTGCCAGCCAGGCTCAGGCACTGCGCAGCTAAGCGGAAGGTTCTCCCCTTTTGTGGATAAATCTTATTTAGAATCTATTGCCACATCAGCACCTTTTGTCTATCAGGTCAAGATGCCCATTTACCTAAAGCTTCTCCCCTGTTTGGCTTGGACATTCTGGCTGTGTATCTGCACCACCGGGAGAAGGCAATTCCATGAGCATCTGTAGCTCAGAAGGCTATGGCTGTGGAGGGGAATGCTCAGTCTTGGAAAGGGTAACAGCTCCCCCATAGTGCGAGGAGAGATGTAAGTGGTCCAGGTGATATCTCTGGGGGAGGAAGAAGACTGGTTCGGAGTGAGTGTTGTTAACTTTGGCAAAAGAAAGTCAAGTTTGTGTGTTTCTAAACTCTTCCAAGCGCACTTTGTTCATCTTTTTGCTCTTGCTTTGAGGTCCTGGAGGATGTATTTCCATACTTGTTCTGGCTGCTTTGCAATATCCTTTTGGCATCTCAGATAACAAATGACGATTTGTGTCTGAAGTCACCCTGCAATTAAAAAGTGATGTGGGTAGCAACATTCCCCAGTGGTGTCCAGGCACCTCTTCTTGCCCACTCTCCCCAACCCAAATATACCCTTGCAAAACAGGTGCCATTTGTGTAATCTTTTTTTTTCCGGAGTCCTGTCTGGGCCCCACTATCTGATTCTATCCCATAGAAGCTGGTAAGGACAAGCATCCACCAGTAATACCCAGCTCCTAACATCTCACAGATGATCCCATCCAATGGAATGAGGAAGATTTCCCCCCACTGCTTCTTCACGGTCTCTCTGCTGATAAGTTTAGGAGACGCCTCTCCCTGACTGGTGAGCAGTTCAAATCCTGAGATGTAAATATGCTAGTCTCTTACATCATCAGTATGGACTGTCTACTTAATCCAGGAAAGCCCATCCCAAGGGAGCAGTCAATCAGCTGCTTACGGTAGAGCAGAGCAGTATTTGATACATTGGGGGTCAGTCCCCGAAGACAGTCAGTTGCCTAGTCAGGGTGTCCTCTTGGACAGACTTGACTAATATAATGTAAGTGATTGATAAAGCCATACCCCATTCTCAGGATTAAACAGCATCATTCACAGGAGCGGGCCTAACTCCCTAGAGAGTGTAAAAGGACTAAGCCTTTCCCAAGGAAATGACTCCGCTGTTGTCCTTCCTCTTAGTCCTAGGTCCTCACTTCACAAGTTGTGTCCAACCCACGCTTGAAGAAATTCTGCTCTGGAGAGTGACTATGGGCCCTAGGTGGTGTGTGATGCCTGAGCTGGGCGGCCCTTCACCAGCCCCTTCAGAGATCTAAAAGGAAAGATGTCCTGTGCTCATTGTTTCCCTTCCCTTAGCTTACCTCGTCGTCTGTCTGGATATAATTAACACCCTCTGGTTTTGCTGGAGTCTTGTAGCTGAAATAAGGGGAAACAGATCTGATTCCTGTGATGATGGGATTTCAGGTGGCAAAGCAGAACTGTTTATTATTAGTATTATTTTTATTTTTTTATTTTATTATTAATTTATTAATATTTGAGGAGGGGGACAACTGAAGGTATTTTCGTCAAAATGAGAGCTGACCTGGACGCAGCTAGCTCTGCTTAAAGCCAGGCCTTGACGTTTCCCCCACTCAGAGCAGCTGGGCTTTCCCCACCAACTACAAACCCCTACAGGAGCATTTCTTCAGGGAGGGGAAGGTGCCAAATGTATCCACCCAGGCTACGCTTCTGACCGCAGTAACTGTGAAAAGAGTTAAATAGTTTTCCAGCCTCTCTCCTGGTCACTGTAACATCATTTCCTCTGATAATTACTATGCAGTTAATTTTAAACCCTTGATGGCCTGCTGGCAGGTTTACTGATAATCCTTTGATTGCGCAGGGTTACAAGAGCTCCACTTGTTTTGTCCAGCAGAGGAATCTAAACATTCATATTTAAAGTCCTGCTTCCCCAGCATGCGTCCACTTAGAATCGTATTTAAATGGAGGGGTTGGGGCCTCTAGCAGACGGGGAGGAGGCTCTTGTTGAAATGTGACACTGAACTAGGCCAATCCAGCTTCCATCCGAGGTTACACAAGCCCTGAAAGAAGCTCAATATTTGACTAAAATGTCATTCTGTTTCTGATCTTGGAAGCTATTTATAGTCTGACCCTTTGGCTCCCATAATACTGCAGTCTTAAATGCGCCGCACTGTTCAAGAACACAAGTCCTCATTGATGGGATCAACTCAGAAATGGCCGTTTTAATCCCAAATGTAAGTGCTGGGATGTACCCAGTAAGACATGCTTTCCGGCCTGGGACTGCTCTCCCTCACACATTTTCTGAATATGTCCTGATGCTTGTACTGATTACACAATGAGCTCTGCTCAGTAAATCCCTGACTTCTAAATGCCAGCAGCATGTGACCACAGGAAGCATCTGCCAAGCTACTGCATAAATACAACTGTGGGATGGTTGGGAATTAGCAGGGCTAAGCCCCTGTCTCTGTGCAAAGTACCAGAATGTTAGGGCAAGGCTTCTTCCTCTTGCCGTTCTTGTCACAGGAGACCCCTGTGTTGCAAATATGAGTGGAGACTTGCCAAGGTTAGCCTGTGTGCACACCAACTTCTTTGTGCAAATCGGTGTTCAAAGTGAACCTGTGGAGCTAGGTGGAATTGGGCCGGTCTAGAGAGTTAATCGGGGAAATAGGAAGTAGTATTTAAAAGTCAGGCAGTGACCCATACTCTAGCCAGCAGGTGCCATGCCCTGTTATGAGAGCTGTGTGCCAGGAAAGGCAGAGGACTATAGGAAAGAAGGTTGCAAACCTACCCTTACCTTTTACCAGTCTGTTTGCTGTTCACAAAGTAACCCCTTCTGTAGGCACAACAGATACCAAGCGTTATCAACACCAGAACCACCACGACCACTAGGACTCCACCGACAATCCCACCAATATTAAGATCATCTGGAGAGGAGAGACGGCATCAGTCATGGATCCCCACAGGTCTCCCAGCCTTCCACCTACACGCAGACTAGCTGGCATGAAACCTTCACCCCTGAAATTCCACCTAATCGAGCAACTCACCCTCATGCCACCGCAGCTGCCCTTCTATTTTTAGCACACTAGCTCGGCCAGAGTTAATATGGGTATGTCTCCTCAAGCTGGAAACGACACCTTCCAGCTCCCACATCAACATATCCAAAGACTCTTCGTCTCAACTTCACTCCACCCTGGCCCCTCTTTTGCCCTGCCCTGTTCCTCTCACCCCTCTGTTCTCTTCCCTCTTCTTTCCATTTAGCTTGTCCCGTCCTAACTAAACCCACCCCCTCAATAAAACCATGGCACTAACATGCCTTTTGCTGCCATCACATTGTTCACGCTGCTTGTTATCTCTCTTCCCCCCGCACCCTGTGTCTGACGTGTCTATTTACACTGCATGCTCTTAGTAGCAGGGACTGCCTGCTATTCTGGGTCTGGGCAGTGCCTAGCACCAGGTGGGCCTTAGGCACTACTGTAAGAAACAGAATTAATTATAATTAATAGAATCAAATATATAAATCAGCTAAGTAACCTCAGGAATCATGAAACTAATCGACCCAATCAGTTCTCCCCTGTTTTCATTTAGCGATTCTTTTTTCCTTGCCCACATTTTGTCATTGTGTTTTTCTACGTTGTCATTTAGACTTTCACATGCCAGGAGCCAAGGCTCTGTCTCGTCCGCCTGCACAGCACCGTGCTATGTCTGTGGGGCTCCAGAAATTATTAGGGATTTTGGAAGAGCCAAGAACATACTTGACGCTGCATGCGACACCAAGAAAAATCAGCCCCCAACACTGCAGAGCTTCTAATCTATAAACCACCGCTTTCTACCGGTAGGCAGAGCCACTCACAGATTTCCATCTCCTGCTCCTCACACTTGGCGGAGCCGGCATCGTTTGTTGCTATGCAGTAGTAACGGCCAGTGTCACCCTTGTGCACGGCTGCGAAGACCTGTTTCGGAGGAAGCATAGCGTGTCAGAGACAGGAGTCGGAATCACAGCCTTTCCACAAACAGCAAACAAACATGTTAGACACTACACCCAGAGGTCTAGGCCTTATGGACCTGCAGGAGGACAAAATAAAAATACACAGGCATTTCTTTGTTTGCCTTTTGATCACACCAAAGACCTGCAGGGAGTAGAATGTGTCCCCAAGCCTGCAGCCTAGAGATATTCTAATTGCACGTACTCCAGAGAGGCCCAGAAATTAACTAGAGGTTCACTGCTTTTAGAGCATAGTGCGAGAGCTCACTGTAAAAGACTTCCCTCAGTAGCACAGGCTGCAAACTGGACCCGGGACATTTCTCCCTGGGGAAGACGACGATCAAGAGAGAGACCTTTCAGGGCCAGAAATGATGCTTCTCTTCCTTTTCTACAGCACTGAGTTTATGGGGATACGTTGATTAGAAACACAGAGAGAAAAGCGTCGGGGTGGTTATGCCATTCCTCCCCCCTCACAACAGCGTGCGCTGCCCACTCTAGAGCCAAAGGCAAAGACTACAACATGGGGGTCATCTCTTCTGGTCCCATGGAGTAGTTCTTCCCCCACATCCCGCTGCTGGACTCTGCCAGCCCCTCAGGGGGCTAGAACCCCAACCTGTTCCAATTGTTCCCTCCTCTTCAGTCCACTCATAATCTGGGTATACGCAAAGAGCAACCCTAACATAGCCCAGCAACGGCATTCTCGGTCATTTCCATAAGAGCATTACCAAAGTGCCTGTTCCAGGGTTCAAGATGAAGGAGGAATTATGGAATTTGGGGTTAGATTTGGAGTCGGTCGGTAAGGGTTCACTGTTGCGGTACCAGCTGTAGGTGGACTCTGGGTAGCCTTCGTTCTCGTGGCAGTGAAGGGTCGCTGTCTTGCCCACTGGCACAGCTTTAGGGACTCTGCACCTGGGAGTGACTGGCTTTACTGAGAGAAGAGACACAAAACATGTGAATCGCATGGCCCAGCACCCTGCTGCACTCCAGCTATTCCAGTTCCCCCTTGGATCACAGAGCAGCGATTCAGCTGGACCCCAGCCCAGCATAACCAGGGCTGCTTCCCCCTCCAGAGATGATGCCCACCACAGAAATCAGATTGTCTTGGGAAACCAACAAGGTGCACTGTGGGGCCCCGAGCTGAAGCAATACCTTGCACTGTAAGCTGGATGTTTATCTCATCTACTATGTTTGCATCGTCAGGCGCTGCCACTTCGCAACGGTAGGTGGCAGTATCCATGCGGGTGGTGTTTTTGATCACCAGCGATGTCCGGCTGAGAATTTCTGCACGAGTTACAAAGTCTCCTGGAGAAGGGCGGAGAGAGAAGGAACTCATGACAAACAGGAGAGACCGTATTTCCAGCTGTGTCCTCCATCAATGCATTTTAAAGGCTACAGCTCTATAGTTCTGAAGGAGGGGAAGAATCTGAATTGGAAAGTGTAATACCTGCTGCAAATCATAAAGCCAGAGAATGAATTTCCAATCCCAATCACTCTCCAAAATCCCAGGGCTGGCAGTGCTGGGGTAGGCAGCCTGCTCCACCTTAAAAGTAACCCCCTCCAAGTGAGTGGGAAGTGGCACTGCAGTGACTACCCTGGAGAGCAGCTCTTATCTGGAATGATGGTAGATCTTCAAAGGTTCATATGGGACAGTCAGAGACTGCAGGCAAGGACCATGGGTCCAGGATTTTGGGGGCTGCACCAATTGCATCTTCGCTTCACCCAATAAATGGTCCCACACAAAGGATGCAAAGTTCCCCTTCTGGTCTCACTACAGCTTTTTGTGACACCTCATTGCTGACCATTCAGTTGAGGTCTGCCAGCAGGGAAAGAGGATCCAGGCCTCACTCAATTCTGAACCTTGGCTGACCAACATAGGTTTCGGAAGTAACTAGTAGGAGAACCAGAATTCCTGCATTTCACAGACGCATTTGTTCCCTGCCTTTATTGTTTCTGTGGTTATAAAGGGGAGAGGGGCAAAAGGGCAACAAATCTTCATACCCTGCATTTTACTGTCAAAAAACACATAGGAGGTTTCACCGCCTTTGATTTTCTTCCACTCGATCCTGGGATTGGGTGTTGTGGTGGATTTAATGATGCAGGACAGCTCCACACCTAGCAGCAGAAATAAAACAAATACAGATTAACAGGGAGCAGCTGTGTTTTCACGCTGCTCCGAGCTGCCTCGCACACTGTTTTACTGGGAGATGTCGCCCATAAAGCCAAGGCCCCCGTCTTTCATCTGCCTCACAAACAGGAATGCCGCTGGGTTCCAGGAACCTTGGGGAAGATGGACCTCGGCCAGCGAAAATAATAGCAATGCAGATAGCGACCTCTGAGAGAAAGGAACACATTCGGCATGACGGTGTCTGATTTATAGCAAACAATCCCTCACAGTGCAGGCACCCGGCATTGGCTTCGTTGCTAACAAGCATGCAAGATGGAGCGAGAGTCATTATTATCTCCTGGAGCAATGACTGAATTATAGCTGACACGCTGGCATTTATGAGAGAATGCTTCAATCTCATCCCCCATCTCCCACATCAGTGAATTCAGTAGCTCAGTCCCCTCTGCAGGAGGCATTTTCATCTCCATTTTACAGAAGAGGAACCTGACCTCAGAGAGGGGGGGAAATCCCCAGTGTTACACTGGACGTCTGCAGTAGGGCCAGAAAGAAGATTTACATCTCCCAAATCCCAGTCCTCTGCCTTAATCACAACACTACTCTCTCCTGCATGCTTATGTCCAGTGCTTCGATCCTGCCGGTGTGCTCCTAGACACCATCCCAGCACTCTTTAGGGAACCAGAACAACCTCTTACGGCATTACCAGTACTTGCATTCTGGCACATCTCAAATGCAGCACTCACCTGCTGTTTAGGCCCCACTTCAGTTAAGCACTTAGGTCTGATCCACACCTAAAACTTCGGTCCACCTAGTTATGGTGCTCAAGGGTGTGAAAAAGTCACACCCCAGAGAGATGTAATTAAGCCAATCTAAGCCCCAGTGTAGATACCGCTAGATTTCCGGAAGAATTCTTCCAGCAACCTCGCTGCTGCCTGTCCAGGGGGTGGATTCACTACAGGGATGGACAAACCCCTTCTGCAGCTGTAGCAAGTGTCAGCGCTACAGCACTGTCGCTGTAGGGCTTGTAGTGTAGACTTATCCTTAGGCACATGCTGAAGTGCCAATGAGCTCAATGAGACTTCAAGTAAAACATTTTAAGTATGTGCTTAAGTGCCAATGGCACTTCAGCAGAGCCCTTAAGTTTAAGTACTTTGCTAAACAGGGAGAGATGTAAGAACAGGCGTAAGCACTTTGCTGAAACTCAGGGCCTTAGTTCTGCCTTGCCCTATACAGCACATATCCTGAGACATGTGCCAAGTCTTCCCGACTGATGCAAATTCTACAGCTACAAGAAAGTGTCATGATCATATTACAGAGCTGACAAGCACTTACGCTGAAATTCCTGCACCACGGGCTTCGTGTTGCTGGACGTCAGCTCCACGGCCAAGATTCGATAGCCTATAAAAACAAACAAAAGGGAATAAGAACAGCCCAGCTCATCAATCCTACAGTTACACGCTTACTCCCTGGTGAGAAATCCTCCAAGCCAGCTTCAATAAGGACCAGCTTCCCTACAACAAAAGCTCTCCCTGGCCTCAAATGCTGGGCCAGCCAGCCACTAGCCTCGTGTTTATTTAGAAATCAATCTCCGTGCAAATACCAAAGGTTAAAAGCAACAATTAAAGAGCATTGACAAACTGGCACAATACCCGCAAAACCATGCGCTCCTGGTTATAGGGTGGACAAACATTCACTCAAAAAATGGCCAAAAGTGGCTTGCCAAATAAGGACACTGGCGTTCAAATTAATTTGACAGAGGAGATAAAGGGAAGGAAGGCTCAAGAATTTAATTCACTTTCTAAACTCTGGAATTTGTTAGCTCTGTCCATAGTCAGTACACACATTATATACTTATTTGTATACTTTGGGGATCCCTCAGTTTAAGAAGCGCTATAGAAATGTACTATGTGTGGTTAATAAGCCACAGAAGGCTGTTTCAAGAGAAAGCTGGACAAAAAGGGGAAGGGCAGATTTAGGGCTCAAGCTGGGCACAGGTAGGGGGTTGGAATTAAGCAGGTTCGGTGACTTCCTGGCCTGACTGAGGTCAATGACAAATTTCCTATTGGCTTCAATTTGGCCAGGATTTCCCCCTTTGAGTGGAATGTTCAAAAGTACTCAGCTTCAGCTTGATTCTGCTCCCATCATCAAAAGCCAGCTTTTCCCCTGGCTTCTAGGGGAGCTGAGATACCCCAATGTAGAGTGCTCTAGAAAATACCACCCACCATATGCAGCAAGCCCTCCGTCTGCCATAGGCTGTTTTCATTCTCAGTCGTCCCTGTTTCCGCCTTATTGCTGCTGCTATTCCAGCCTTTGGTGCTGCAAGCTTTACCTTTTTACAGCGTTTTCCTGCTTGAGACGCAGCCTTTTATGGCTTTCCAAGCATAACACCACCTTTCATCCTGGCAGCGCTCAAAGGCTTGCACAAACCACGTACATGCACCACCACTCAACTCTACATAGAGCTCTCCTGGGGCACAGGGAGGCATCCAGCACTGCCCATCAGGAAAACTGGATCACCTGAGCAAACCTTCTCTCTCACATGAAGAAACTTTTACAGCTGAGTATTCTAGTATCGGCAGGGTCCATCACCTCCTATTCAAACATACCATCCCACAGAGCATATTCCACAGTCCTGTCTCTCAGTGATGGGGTAGGGCACACAAAACAGTCTACAGCAATAGTGCACCAGGGCTCAGCATGGAGACTCATTAAAGACCTGATCCAAAGTCCACTGAAGTCAATAGAAAGACCTCCCCCATGGACATCAGTGGGCTTTGGATCAGGCCCAAAGTCAGGAAGATGAAAACTAAAGCATCAGTGACCCGATACACACAGAAATCAGGACCCTGCTTTATCCAGGATGAAACAGACAAGACAAACCAGGGAAGGGACTCGAAATGAGACATGGAGAGGAGGAAAAGGGCCTACATCATTAAGACAAACCACTGGAAATTCCCACATGCTTGATATTTCGTGTGGAAACATTTCAAACCAACAACCAGTGATGAAAGGAAGTTTAAAATTCCTACAGTTGGGTGGATCAGGAGGATACAATGAAGAAACTCTGCCCTTTGCTGCAGGACTGGGTTTTTTTTTTAAAACCACCTAAGAGATGAGACCAACTGAAAGCTGATGGGCCTGATGCTCCTACACCCTTTAGCCACTTTTGGAATTCTCCCCGCTAATTATCATCACTCGTTATTTGTTAAGTGTTGACAGTTTGCTCAATGCCATGTTGGGCATAGTTCCTGCCCCAAGCAGCTTTCTCAAAAAAGACCAAGATGCTCTGGGAGGCTGGTGAAGTTTAAAGACCGTCACTCCAGGAGAATCACTGCACAGATGAGGGTCACAAGACATTGCAAACTAGCAAAGGCCCCAGCCAAACTACTGTCCTATGAAGGCAAATTACTCTTTGCCTCTGCACTCCTCTCCGTCTCAGCATTTGGAGAAGCCTAACATTGACTCAAGAACGTGACAGTTCTGTCCTGTAAGGTGGTCAGTCAGGGTTAGAATGAATCACAGTGCAATATGGTGGGCCCTCTGGGGCCTGGATTTGAGTCTGAAAATACTTCCCCTTTTGGCAGCACAGAAGAATGCCACCTTCCATGCCAGATCTCGGTAGGTGGAAGAAGATGCTCCAGTCTTGGTTTACTATCAGCGGAAGGCAATAGAGTAGTTGTGCAAAGCACAGGTGCAGGCCAGCAGTGAGAGAGAGCGGAGCATATTTATACCAGTCCTGTGATTTCCAGGCTTAGCTCTGCTGAATGGTAATCAGCCACACACAAGCTGTAACATGTTCCTTTCCCTTCGCTCTTGCTTTGATCTTTCTTGTTCCATCTAAGATCCCACATGGCGAATCTGGTTTTGATCCTTACTTTCCTCCCTGGTGAGCATAAGCAGATCTCAGTAATCTCAACAAAAGCCCAGAGCATTAAAGTAACCAGCCATATGAAGACAAGCAACAAGCTCAGGAAAAATCCCTCTGAAGTCCCCTGACACACTTTTAAACAGGCTCCCTGCTGACCGGGAGGCCATTTTGATTCTGAATTGAGGTTTCCCACCCACAGGCTGCAAAGCACACATTCCCTCAGCTCCATCCCCCACTGCCCAGGAGCGTGGATGTACATGCCCTTTCCTCACGTGGATGTACATGCCCTTTCCTCACGATCACCATCTTGCTGATGCTTCTGCTGCAGAAAGGCATTTGCCTTTAAAAAAACCCCCACTGACTAATGACTCATGTTCTCCTACAAGAGAAAAGTCTTTTCTGGACAGCACTAATTAGCCAAAACACCCAAGGAAGAGAACACACTGATGAGGATGCAACTGGTGAAGACGCTTTTTCCACTCCTGAGCCTACACAATGGGGCGATAACATTCTGAGAGACAGGATCCAAAGCTTTGAGAGGAAGAGTAATATTTGTCCCAGCTCCTGATCTCTTCCCCTGCGAAGAACACCCTCCTCCAAGGCTCTGTTGTGTACCAGGACTTCATTTGTCTTATCTTTGGAGACTTGGATTGATCTTGCGTAGTAGGGAGGGTTTGGTGAACAAAGCCCCGAGCCTGATTTGCAGAAGGGGTGGGATGAAGTGAATGGGATCTGCGGGTGCTCATCACATCTGACACGGGCCCCTGCTCCCTAAGGGAGTAATGCAAAAACAACAACCACAAGTAGCAGCATCTCCTGAGGCCAGGAATAGCAGGAGGGCTCTGGGCGAGAGCTAGGATGTGTTGGAGAGCTAGAGAAGACAGTTTGCACAGCAACTGTGCTCCAGTCTGTCCTAGTCTATCTCATCAGCTTTGCTTTCCTGACTGCACAGATGCACCCAAATGATAGCAAGGAGGGGTGCAAACATTGCCTTCGTTACTTAGAGGAAAACATACTCGGCTGCAGAAAAAATGAACCTTTCATCCAGGTCTGCTTTGTACTATGTGCCCTTTTTCACAAGAAGGAAGCTTTTCCAGGGCCACAACGTCGCATCAAACAGATACGGTGGCAGCTGCTATAGAAATACATCTAGTATCATACCTGTTACCGTACACTCCTGATTATCCCAATAGCATGGGGGACATAGATGTTATTCAGACAATCGAGAGGGCAGGAGCCATTCAGCACCAGGGTAGCCTCCCCCGCTGCCTTTGGCTTGTCCTCTTTCTCCTCCTCATCACAGTCCTGGCCTGGGGTCTCTGCTCTATTATTCAAACCTCTGCATTACCTGAATTCCTTCCTTGTGGCCCAGCGTGAGATACACAGGGGCCAAGGAAGGGATTCAGGTAATGCAGAGGTTCAGATCATAGGGTTTGGGACAAAATATACTGTGTATCGTTTCATAGGAAGGTGGATGTAATACCACACTAACTAGTGGTGATATGCTATTCAAAGTGAGCGGAGATCCTACAGGCATTACTTCATAACTCTGACCCCTTCTCAGCTCTTGGAAACATTACTCACCCTTTCCTACCCATTAAAAACAAGAGATTTATGTTGCCCCATCAGGCACAAAGCAGGCCAACAACTGGTTTAAAATATAGAAGCTGGGTGTTTGGAGCCCTCCGGAGCAGTTCCCAGATTATGATGTTTATTGATTGTGGGCACAGTGTAGCTGTGGCGCCTTAAATCAACACGAGGGCAGATTTATTGTTCACAGTGCAGCAGAAGAGGGCTGCAGCCAGGGAGCTCTAACCCACGGCGTGGAAGGGAAAGCCACGCAGGGAGCAACAAACTGAGCAGAGAGGCTGCAAAGCAGCAGCAAATGAGCTTCTCGCTGCTTGTCAATACGACGGCCACGAGCCTCACCAGCATCAGTCTTACTGGGACAGCAGAAGCCATTAAAAAATCAAAGATCCTAGCTGTTCTCACACTCTGCTGTTGAAGTAGAGGGGAACGCCGGGGTACGGCAGAGACCACTGCAGCTGGAAAATGCTGACTATTTTAATGGCAACCATGGAATTTGCGTTGTTTGGTGTATTACATGATCCTGAGTTACAACCCCCTCTTTAGAGGAGCCTATGTATACTCATCTGGGGAGAAATTCCCCCCAGCACAGTGACAGCACAAAGACTGTGTGTTCTTGAAATCTCACCCGAGCCTTCAAACCAAGAGGTCAGTGGTGTAACAAGGCTTGTGCCGGAACTCTTCTCTGCATTGGCATGCATTCCCCGCCCCTAAAGCCCTCTGCATTCCTCATGCTGACAACCTGCAATAATGCCAACAAGTGCAGCGCTGGCTGGGTACATAATGGACCAGGAGGGCCCGGAGAGACCCAAGGTTGAAACCCAAATGCCACCAGAACTCTATGGAGGACAATGCAACAGCGTCTGTGGTGTATTTCTGCTCTTATTTTGGCTAAGGAGATCCAGTCCATATAAATACAGCCCTGCGCAAATACAAAATTTGT